CACAGCTGTCGGAGACAGTTCTCGCGCTACACATGCCCCCGATGCAATATCCCCTATTGCTCGCTGGTCTGTTTCCGCTCCGAGGTGCGTTTCCCGCTTGACGTCTTGCTATGTTCTGAGGAGTTCGCTGATGGGCTATGTGGGTGCAGAAACATGCAGACTGCTCAGAGTCGTTCTACCGCAAGGAGGTCGAGCTTGACGTCAAGAGTGCGCCGTCCGCAAGCGTCGAGGAGAAGCGGCGCATGATGGACCTCCTGAAACGCTTCGAAGAGGACTCCCTTGACGAGAGCCCGCTCCTTGCAGACTCGGACAACGAGGACGAGGAAGGCACCGACGATCTCCACAGCCGATTGCAAAACCTCGACCTTGGTACTTCTTCCTTCCCCCGAGCATCTTATATGAGACTGATGAACTTGCTTGCGCGACAGATTCGGCATCATATGAAGAGCTTTGGGCAGCCTTGACCCCTGCGGAGCGCGAGAAATTTCTGCGCGCAATCAATGATCCAAACAGCGAGCTTGCACAGCAGCTGCTTGGAAGTGAAGAACTGGAGAGGGAACGCGTTGAGCCGTGGTGGGAGGCACCCGCCGATGCCGAACCCGAGGACTCTTCAGCATCGTCTGGCGGAGCAACAGCTCGCAGACACGGCGCGAAGCCATCCATCATGTCCATTCCCGAGCCGCTCATCAAGCAGTCGTCCAACAACGCGCTGAGTGGACCGCTACTGCTCTACAATATATGCGCCGTAGTGTAAGTCACCCCGGCCTACTGCCGTTCGAAGGCCACTGATGTGGAAATGCTGCAGTATCACCTACGCGTACATCATCCGCTACTTTGCCATCTCGCCTCTGTCTTCTCTCTCGCCTACTGACCCAGATCATGCGGAAGTCCGGCGGACAATCTCACAGCTCGTCCCATTCCTCACTGACCGCAGGTCTACCCTGGCGCACTCCTCCCTGTCCGGCGTCGTCACAGACTTGTGGTCGCGGTTCCCACCTGTAGGTCCTCATATCCGCGCAGCAACCTATAGTAGTTAAGTAACGACCTTGGATAGGGCCACATGAACCCGCGATTCTTCTCGCTTCTGTTGAAGGACACCGCGCTGCTCCTGCGTCCTGCGCATGTCACTGTGCTCCCGCAACGGAGCGCGACACTCACCGCCACAGAATTGGAAACACATCCTAGCGCGAATGCGTTGCGAGTGCTGTCCGACCTCGCAGAGTTTTTCGGCCGGCACGCGCCAGAGAGCACCGCGGGCAAGAAAGCCACCAGCACACCCTTCTCGAGGCCCAAAACAAACCACGTCGTGCACAAGCTCATCTTCTACGCCGCATATGTCTTGGGCACGCCTGGGCCGATGCTGCGGGTCCTGGCGGACGAGGCGACCATGCGAGCGAAGGCGCTGGAGAAGGAGGCGGAGCAGGGAGCGCGAGACGAGGGTCAGAGGGTTCAGAGGGTCGGACAGAATCAAAGCAAAGGCAGCGCAAGAATCGAAGAATTAACGTAGTTCCTCAAGTGTAGCATTGCCTGTACTATAGCGATGTCAACATGCACCTGAACAGTATCTTGCGATGGATATCATGCTCTACTCTAGATGTACTGTGAGTGGGGATAAGTGCGGTCCGTGCTGCGTGATCGTGCAAGTGAAGGGCTGCCCCAGTCGCTGCCGTCAGTCACTACAATACCAGGATCCAAGTTGATGGACTTACTGTCTTACAGGGTTATAGTACATTGCCATCTGCTGAATGGGGTTGGCTCCACGGCCAGAGGTGTAACTGTTGAAGGAATCGATCTACCACCACACGGGAGCCAGAGCCAGGAAGCAACGCACCCGAGCACGTCTCAATCACAGCTCCCATCCGCCGGCCCATCCTTCCACCGCTCGTCCAGCTTCTCGACCGAGCAGTCAAACTTCTCCTTCCCCAGCCGCTCGTTCACCTCGTTGTGCTGCTCACACAACCACCGACTGAGCGCCGCGCGGCTGCTCACGTCCGGCGGGCGCGTCTTCATCGTCTCGCCAAGATGGGTCGCGCACACCGAGCACGGGTACAGCACGGGAAGTGCGCGCAGCAGCGAGAGCATGCTGACGCGGTGTGCCATGCTCGGCGCGTCCGGGTAGTACGCAGCAGTCGTGTGCAGGAACGTCCATGTTGCACGTCCGAGCTGTTCGACGTCTGGCGGGCAGTATTCTGGGCGGACGTACGGGTCGGGTTCGGGTACAGGTGCAGCGGTGGTTTGCGTCTGCTGCTGCTGAGAGCCTGAGGCGAAGCCTGTCCCCGAGGCGAATGCTGCCATCATAGCGGCGGTCTTCTCCTGGTTGGACGTGCCCTGGCTGTTCGCCTGCCCCTGCTTGGCCTTCTCGACGCGTGGCTTCCAATGGCGGAACGCGGTACAGATCTTGCAGGGCTTCCCGTCCGGGCCAATGACCATGCCAGGCGGAAGGGAGGACTTGGAGGAGGAGCTCGGGGAGCTGGGCGCATTCTCGGTAGGAGCCATGGCTTCAGGCTTGAGGACGCCCACACTATGCAGGAGAGAAAGCGCGTACGGGATTGCGAGAGTGCAGGAGGGGGAAGTAGGCAGTCCAAGGCTACAGTATACTCAGCAAGTCCGAGTCTCCCGGGATTCTGGAATCCCTCCCTTGGGCGCTAACTTGCAATCCGACTATACGTCAGCTGGGCGCTAAGCATATAGCGCTGCGCGTCATGATGCCGTTTGCCACTCTCACACCGGGGCTTCGCTTTTTCTTTGTACCTCAGAACAAGTTAGAGAATTGGATCGAAAATTGGATATTCTGCTCTCATGATAATACCTATTATCTTATACATTCTGGGAAGGGGAGAACGCGATACATAATTTGAACATTTCTTTCCTATTCTGTGGTCCAGAAAATAGCAGCGCCCACCGAAAAACAGCGGGCGATGAGCGGGCGACGTGCCAGAAAAGAGCGGGCACTCTTATTATCTGGCCCACAGAACAAGAAATAAAAGTAGAAATTCTGTGTCCCAGAGAATACCTATTGTCTAACACGTTCTCGTGACCGTAGAATCAGATAGATGATATATAATTCTCGTTCCGTTTCTCTAACCCCTTCTTGGGTACGAAGAAAAGGCGAGACCCCGGTGTGTCTGTCAAAGACTCTTCAAACACTAGAGTGCTAGCGTTGAGTACCTCGGTTGTCCATCGTAGCTTCATCGCGCGCGCACACTACAAAGTCTTGATTTGCAATGTCTTGCCGCTCATCGCAGTGCTCGCAGTTCGCTGCTTCGCATTTGCGAGCCTTGTCCCTCTCAATCCAGTCGTTTTGCGGTCGCAACGGTCTTCAGGTATATGCAGTATGCGGTACATCCGACCGCCTGAGCCATCCGTGCAACTCCGTTGACGCTCAGATACAGAACTGTTAGACCAGCTGACCGTCTCGCAGACGTCAGCTTGAGGTGCACTACCGTCTCTGCCAAACAGCAGGACACACTTCAACTCAACGGTACGGTGATGTGCCAAATCTACCCTAAAGCCGTGAGGTTGAGGCCGAGAGCCTTTGTAGGTCGAGGCCTCTGACGGGCTGAGCTGAGGTAGATGGCGGGATCAGAGGATGTAGCGGTTCGGCCGCGGTGCCCTTGAGGCGAACGTCGCGATGCGGCAGTGGATCGGAGCGAACAGAGCTCTTCGCAGGTGTTCGCAAGCTCTTCGCGGATGTTCGCAACCGTTCGCGGGTCTTCGCGGGTACTCGGTACGCTCTTCGCAGTCTTGTCGGGCTCAACGCGGGCGCGGAGGGGCTCGGTGATTTCTTCGCAGCTACGCAGTGTTCAACAGCAACTCAGTGTAAGACACAAACAGTGAAGAGGAAGGCAAAATGCTCAATAAGAAACTCGACATGGCGAAGTAGTAAACGCAAGGGGAACGCGAACGCGGACGCAGTTAGGGCTCAGTGAGATCTCTGCTCTCGAGAGGGGGAACGGAATCTGGATTGCTGCGCTGCGAAGCGCGAGTATTTTACATCAGTGCCAAAATGGCGTGCTACGCATGTGACGCCGGACCGGACCTTTGCGCTGCCGAGCTGACTGCGAACGCACGGACCTAGTGCCGGGGGCATCTTCAGGGCAGGCTGGCGCGAAGGACTTCGCTCCCCAACGCCTGGTCACCCACCGGGTTCTGCGCAATGGCTGCACGTCGAGTCCCTCGCGGGACTTTGCGATCCATTGCGGAGGCTGCGAAGCTGCGAAGGCCTGCGAAGCTGCAAAGGCCTGCGGATCTGTGCGAAGAACTGCGAAGAACTGCGAAGAACTGCGAAGAACTGCGAAGATGCGCGGAGATGCGCGAAGGGAGCAGTTTCGGTGCTCCGCGGCCTCGTGCGCGGAGTGGGTCGCATCAACGGCATAAGCAAGACTGATGCCTGATGGGTCCGCTGTGCTATGGGTGTCCTCATATTATATTATATTTTAGTATAGTATATTCCACGTCTCAGGATCATTGGCATCATCATCCATAGCTCCACGACTATGCCATCGCTGCTGGGATTGCGCATTTCAGGAGGCCTGGTATCCCCGTAGGCACAGCGTCTCTGAACCTTCTTCGGTAGTGATCATTGCCCAAGGCGATCATGGAAGTTGCTGGGCTGTGGGGGATGATGTGGTAAGTGGTAAGTGAATAGCTTGGTTTAACTCAATGCGTCTGCTATACGGAATCGTCACTGCATCCAAGACCTATCGCAGTAGTTGCAAGGGCATCCCGGCCCCCTGCTCATTGATGAGTCATTCACTCCTCATAAATACAGTATCTCTAAATCATCTTTGTACTCTATACTAGAGTGATGCTGCCGTGGAAATCAAGACTACTGTCGCGATAAGTGTGAGCTTCATGGTGGACTTGATTCTCGTATCCCGAGGATGATGACACCTTGATATCTGCGGCTGCAATAAACAATACGCGGCATAGTATGCTATCTACTGTGTTCGCTACTGTACAATGAGTGAACAGCACCATCGGAGACAAAACGACACACATGATGAGAGTGGGATTCGAACCCACGCCCGTGAGGACCAGATGTCAGAGACTTGGTAGAATGAGCTCCTTAGTCTGGTGCCTTAGACCGCTCGGCCATCTCACCATGTTCTGGGCAGCAGAGGGTCGCTGGACGATGATTCTGGATACCACTCGGGAGACGTTCTTGAAGACCTGCCATATCGGACCACAGATCTGTCGAAGCAAGCGTGGTGATCGGGTGCGGTGGCTGTTCCTGGTTCCAGGTTGTGCGCCGAGAGAAAGTCTTGGCATCACGGTGACTCTGACTTGCCCGCCATGTGCCGGCAACACACCCACCCTTCCTTCTTCCTCGCTCTCGCACTGGCCGTTTCTCCACACAGGCCGCTTTGAGGTGGCACCGGACTCTCTTTTCTCTTTCCTTCCCTGCTGTCTAGCTGTCCTCTGAACTACATTCGGTCGTTTATGAGCTTGTAGCAGTGCTGCTCGCTGTGTTTCTCTTGCTCAGACCTGACTTTGGCCACATACAATGGATCTCGTCAGGACTAAGTGAGTGTACCGCTTTATACCCATTGGTGCTGCAGCGACATTCATCCTCTGGGCATTCGCACATTTCGGTGCGAACGACCACTCTCTATACTGAGGGCCGCATCCAGACGGGATCGACCCTTTCTATCAACCGCCGCCACCACCACTCGCCGGTGTGCCTCCTCTGTACTCCCAGTTTGAAGATCATCATGTCCATATGCGACCAGTCACGAAGTGGTCCGAACGTGCAGACACCGTGAAAGACGCTTTCCGACATGCATACCGAGGGTACCAGGAGTACGCGGGGTCACACGACGAGCTACTGCCAGTCACCAACGGATGGTAGACAGGTGCGTATATCACTTTGTCAATTATTACTGTGCGCAACCTCATCTATGTTGGCTAGCTTCAACGGCTGGCGTTTAACGATGGTGGACAGCTTGGATACTATGTTCATCATGGATCTGCACGACGAATTTCAAGAAACGATACCCATAGTAGCGAACATGACATTTGCTTTACGAGAGGTGAGCGTGATTTCCGCCCACATATACTCCATGACTGGAGTGTCACGTACAGGGAGCCTTCGCATCCTTCTTCGAGACCGTCATTCATTACCTGGGTGGACTTTTGTCTGTGTATGCTCTCTCCGGCGAAACCATTCTCTTGACTCGTGCAGACGATCTGGGCCGTATGCTGCTACCCGCATTCAATACCACGCATGGACTTCCCATGTATGCCGTGAACACCGTCTAGTAAGTCGACACGAGGTCATCCCAGGTACGGTTTCTGACCTAGAAGAGTACAGCGGAAAGACCAGGACGGGATGGACTGGCTCGAACATCCTTTGGGCAGAGGCACTTAGCTGCCAGATGGAGTACAAGTATCTCACTCATCTGACTGGTCGGAAGGAGTACTTTGATAGTGTAGGTTCGATTGCTCTTCTGGTGTTGAAGGGGAACTAATCCCATGATGTCACAGGTCAAGCGTATCATGGACCTCATGAACGACGCTGATGTGAAGGACAGTCAGTTTGCCACAAAGTGGTCCGTTACGACGGGGAAACCTACCTCTAGTACGTCCGCAGTCACCATTGATGTGGAAATCCTCATCTCGAATTCTGGGGATACCTGCAGATCAGTTCTCAGTGGGCGCCTTTGCCGACAGCGCACACGAGTACCTGCTCAAACAATGGTTGCTAACTGCCAAGTCCAAGCCAAAGGCTCGAGACATGTGTACGTGTATGAGAGTCCTGCGAGCGATTCGCGTTGCTGAGCTAGCTTTGCAGACTTGCGCAATGTCGAAGCCATCCTGAACAACCTGCTATACATCAGCACTAATCGCAGTCTGCTCTACGTCACCGATATCATCAACTCCAGCCCCCCTCACAACTTCGAGCACCTCTCGTGCTTTCTTCCCGATCTCCTCACCCTCGGTGTGCACACACTCGACCTCTCACCGCACGACAAGGAGCTGCACCAGTGGGCCGCGCAGGGTCTCGCGTACACGTGCTGGATCACGTACGCGGACCACGAAACCGGACTGGCGCCGGACGTGATGTATATGACGTGCACATCGGTTGATACGCAGCATCCACGTGGCAGACGCTGGATGGACCTTGTGGAAGCCTGGGAGGCGGAGGGCTGTCCTGGGCGCGTGCCTCCTGGTCTGAAGGAGGCACCGCCCGTGAAGGACTCTGCGCAGTGCGACTACTACACGATGAAGCCTGACTATATGCTGCAACCAGAGGTACGCACAATTCCCTTTGACATTATATGGCGCTGATATGGCTTCGTGTAGACGGTCGAGAGCTTTTACATCATGTGGAGGACAACCGGTGATGAGATTTGGAGGGAGCATGGATGGGAGGTCTTCCAGGCCATCGAGAGGGAGGCCAAGACGGCGAGTGGATATGCGAGCTTGTTCTCGGTGGAGAAGTCGCCTGCCCGTCTGAAGGACGAGATGCCGAGGTGAGTAGTGGCTACTATGAGCTCGTTTCTGACTCTAAGTCACCCCGCGACCTCCATGTTGAGCAGGGCTTGGCACGCAGCGGAAAGCCCGCTAGGCTCAGCTTACCTGTGGAGCACTTGATAGAGGCACACGTAGTGGTTGAGGATAGAAAGCGACTTTTTGATCCGCTCCTACAGAGCGGTCTTATATACTAGCGTACATGTGGCTGTGCTAGAACTATCCAGTATCTACCAGCCAC